GCGTCACCAATCATAGTCTGTCCTCACGGATTAATGTGTAATGTGAGTAGGATACTTAATTGGACATGCACTCACCTAGTGAGAGAAAATCCTCCTTCACCGACAGCCAGCTCTTGGGCACATGGATCACCGTCTAAAAGCAAGCCAATTAGAAAGCTGTTGAACACACTAGTAAAAAATATCTTACTTTTCTGGCAACAGTAGTTATCTGAGCCGTCCACACCTATATGACAGAAGTGTGTGGAAGGACAACGTTGAGCGGGACTGCATATTTTCGGCACACTGCCAACCAGTAGAGGTTTCCCGCTACCGCAAGGATTTTCATACACTGGACATATCGCTTGACAGTCATCTTGGGTGAGGAACATGTTCTGAAAGGATTTGTGTTTTAGTTTAGTTGACAGTTATGCCACTTTGAAAAGACCATTAATGATGTGCTCTAGCGTGCTGTGATTGGTTTGTATTCTAGCAAACAACTCTTTGTTTCGTCAGCAATGGACTAGTTGCTTGAAAACTGCTAGACTAAATACTGCCCTTTATAGTAGTACACATGTGACCGTCTGACTAGGCGGTTCTACGGACTTGACGTGGCGACCGCCGCACTTGATAGAAGTCGCGCGGATAAGTCACTTCCAACATACTTCGCTGGGAATCAGCAAGGCAGGCCAGAAGCAGCTTATCCACGCAATATCAAGTGCACCTAATCAGACTTTGAGATATGAACTGTGTGTACTCGAAAGTTCATTTTCGAAATTTATATGACCATCCAATTTTTGAAAGGAATTGGTGAGATTTAAGGATCCTGGTTCTAATTTCCTGATCTATTGATTTGGCCAATGACCAGCTTTGGGCACGTTTCCGAAACACCGATATCACACTCACCTGATTTCCTCCTTCACCACTGTAGATGAACTTTATGCATTTCTTTTTGTTGCTGTCAAAATGCCACCGAGTTAAATGAGAATTACCGTCACCTTTCATCAGTGGTAGTTCGCAGGTGTTGGGCACTGAAATTGGCGTTTATCCCTACTGAACTGGAATTAACTTATTGAAATAAAATTATCAAACAACTCACCGGTTGAACAGCAAACGGTTGTTTCTGGTGTGAGACCAACATGACACCAATGTGACTGGGGACAGGGTGAAGTCGGGCTACACACACGGGGCTCCTTTGCTGGAGTGAGCAACATAATTCCGGTACCGCATGGAGATTTGCATTCACCTGAAATCGAGAGCAATAAGGGACAATTCACTATAAAAAGAACAAATATGGCATGTTAGCGGTCTACCATGCCTATGGATAAATAGCGATAGCCAGTAAAGGTGGTGATCACGACGCCTGAAGGGAGGTGTGGTTTTGGTCGCGTCATGATGTCATCCTCTCACAATCAGCGTCCTGGAGGATGTGGTTGCGACGGCCTCGCGCCACGCAGCCACCAATGACGTTAATGACTCATCAAAACCTCACCAGCCTCCTGCCATCGTGATCGCTGTCTTTAAGGCACACATAAAAGAGAGACTGCAGAAGGAACGACTGACGCTTGCACTTCCGTTCACAAAGCGTTTTTGTGAGAAAGTTGTTCTGGTTTCCTTTGGCTCCTTTGTAAACGAACGGTTTGCATTGTCTTGTGCAGGACTGGTCATGTGGGTCAGCATACCAGCGTGGCAAGTCCATAGTGCCCTCACCAGATTCCAATGGCAGAGAGCATGGATCAGACGAAGCTAAATCAATCAGATGAGATTTTTTCTGAAGTCATCTGGTGCCAGATCAGGTTAAAGGAGCATTCCACGATAAGGTCAAAGGTCGAGAATATTACACCTATCGAAGGCATACAGACCCTCCTGAGGGTGCGGAACGTTGTGCGTTTTGCAGCGAAGGGTACGACCTCAGCGGCCTAGCAGAGCCGCTCCCGCACCGCTCACGCCTCTGCACGCCCTCCGACGATAACCCTTCGCGTCTGACTCTAGCCGTTTAGCGGGAGAGCGTTAGCGTTGGCGAGGGCAGCACCGATGAG